AAGAAAGCGTCTTGTCGTACAGTTAAGGAACAAAGATGGGGGCAGTAGTCGGCTGTCTGGCAACGCAGGTAAGTCCTGAGTCGTTTCTTCAAATGCAATTATATTTAAACTCTGAATGTCTGTGATGTGTATTTTCTTTTATTGTGTCCGTGATATTCTGAATGCTAAATTCATGGTGATAATTCCGTAAATCAACAAAATAAAAACAACAACATTCTGAGATGACGCCCGTATTGACCTCCGTCATGTTTACATATTATTTATATTTAGGTACATTATTAACATATTGACTTTGGAAAAAAAATTCTATGGTATTAGTAAAACAGTGCCACCAATGTAATATATATCTGCTATTTGTGTTTAATTGTTACAGTGAATCTATCGCGATAAAATACAAAGTTTAGGAGGATATACAATTGTTGTGATTCACAAGGCCGTGACTCACGGTCACAGGCAGTCGTGCTTTATTGAAAGCAATAACAACAATTCCAGCCATAATTAAATTCCAACCTTTTAGAAATCTTAAATCTTTTTTTGTCCAATTAACTCTGGCATTAACTTAATGCTTCAAGGCCACTTTAAATTTAAACTTTGGCTATTTTCGCTGAAGGTGTGCAATTCAGCCAAAAAAAAAAATCAGTGAAAATACTTTTCTCCCTATGGTTTGCATGTAATTTATGTCTTAATAGTGAAACAGTGTCTGAGACGGGTAACTTTCATGTCTGGCTGATAAAAATTTGTTCATAGCCTACAATTTCAAAAAGGGTACTGGACATCTTGACCCAAAAAAATCTTACCTGTTTTTCATTGGACATCTCGACCCACCTACACCTATAGCCAAAACAAAGTCAGCTTGGACATTCAGTTGTGATACATGACAAAACAAACAGCTGCCAGTGATAGATTTCGCGAATAAAAATACCCAAAATAAATGCAATCAGAGGCGCCGACCACGCGCGTTGGAAATTAATAGAACACGTTGTGACACAGTCTCACCAGCCTCTTTCGCTCACACAAACGCACACATGCACATACTATTTCCGTATATTGAATATGATGGCAAGGGAAAAGGAACACCGGAAAGGACAAGTGTAAATCATGTTTGTATTGACACAACATGAAAGCAACAGTCTACCAGTGAATGTACATGTATATTTATCAATCATCAAACTAAACAATCAATGTTTATATACATGAAGCGGACTGTGGCAGTTATGTACTTTCGCAACCCCTGAAAATGTCATCATTTTTTGGATTGACCCATTGCACTGGATTGCTCTCTGTGGCCGTTGTTTCAAATCAATGTCGATCAAAGTTGAACTAAATAGAGGTTTGCGTAGACACATTGAGATAGGGTCACAGCGATGTGGTGGGTCAAGATGTCCAATTTGGGTCGAGATGTCTAGAAATCTTTCGAAAATGCAATTATCATTGGATGAAGTTGAATGCTGTTTTTGTAGATAAAATAAAACTTTTGCATAATCTTGTAATCTGTAACGAATCAGTGAAAATACTTGTTTTGCAGGTCGCCTGTTGTTTTGGATCTGCTGCATGCAGTTTGTGTTGTGCATGCTGTCCATCATGTAAGAACTCAACGGCTTCTCGTATTGGTTATGCTATATTACTACTGATTGGTGTAATTGCAGCATGTTTGATGCTGACTCCCGCAGTTCGAGATTTACTCTTACAGGTAAGTGAACTGATCAATAATTGATTGATTCAAAAATCTCCATTGCCTGTAGATTTGTTGCTAATTTGCATACTAATTTACATATTAATTTGCATTACATAATATTGTAATTTTCAGTTATACAAGTTATATTAAGTATGATTTAATGTATATGTAAACATTAAATCATACTCAATATAACTTGTATAACTTGTATAGTTAAAATATAGGCAAAATTATGTTATTTAATATTGTTAATTAGTTACAATTCATACCATTTTTACTTCCAAGTTAATCTAAATACGATGATATATTTATTGATGCTGAATTACGAAACTTGACTTTTGTGTCTTTTCGATGATTCTAGCCTAGTCTAGTGTGTTGTCGTTTATTTGCTTTTATTTTTAAACTCAAACTTCACAAAAGTGTTTGTGCTGTTTTCTTTTTTGTTTATCGTGTTACTTTATAAACACCAGAAATAGTAAATGTTCAAAGCACGCTGACGTGACAGATTTAGTTCAGTAAAGGTGGTTGTCTTCTAAGTTGCCAGAGTTTCTGCATAAATCATAGTGTAGTGGTTCTGCTTCTGTAAAACAGTTTGGGAGAGAAAACACATCAGTGGCCACATCTAATTGATAGCATATTGAAAACAATACAGTTCACAGACTTATGCTTCAATGAAAGAAGTGTGCTGTGTTACACCCAATCACTAAGTTCAACTGTTCCCACACATAAACTAAAACCTTTGTAGCATTCACTTCACTATTGTTACATGGTTATTGGGGAACCAATACTATAAATAGATGCAAGATAGCCACCGAAATTAGTATGCTAATTCGAACCAAGCCGCTCACATTGTGGCGGGAGCTCCGGGAAATGTGCAATTTACGATGTTTAGGGATCAAGCTGCGATTCCAAATACATTTCTACAGGGACATAAATATGTATGCTAGTGATTACACTCATCTGGTTGAGCTTTTGATGTATAAATGTTGTTTTCGATCGAAACATGTCGAGACAAGTAAAAATCCTGAGTTTAAAATGGCGGCTAATGTATGCAAAATGCCTGTCAATTACTGTTTGAGTAAGCGAGCATAATAAGCATTCATTTACTTAGTAGACAGAGGCGGAGTTAATTACCCATGAGCATGTGCTACAATCAATGGGATTGAGCGATTCCCCTTTAATATATTTTGTTGTATATAATAAAAAATGTTTTTTCTTGGCAGATCCCTTATTTGTGTGAAGAAGGTGATCTCATACCAGTTTGGGAGGGTGACAATTATCGGATTGCATCTGACAGAGTTTGTAATTTACTGGTTGGATACTCCGCTGTTTATCGTATCTGTTTTGGTTATGCATGTTTTTTCTTTTTGATGATGCTTATCATGATAAATGTCAAGTCAAGTAAAGATCCAAGATCTGGAATACAGAATGGGTGAGTACCCGCACAGCATTTGAAATTATTAACGATGTATATCACAAGCTGGGACTACTGTAAGATTCTTTATTCTTGCTAGAATTAATTTTCCCTGTTCTGTATGACCTTTATTTTTACTGATTTTTGATGAGTGTAGGAAAAATAATATAGTATTTTCTCTGGATTTAATTTTCAATGATTCATTCCTTCAGAAAAAATAGATTCCAA